TAAGTGCTAGGCGTGCCACTGTTATCTCAGTATAGCAGATGTAGAACAAGAGTGTTTTTAGTCAATTACTTGCACCCCAAGTTACTCGGACTTCTTGTTATCAAAGGATTGTCGTGGATGGGTTAAGTCCACATTAAATTCTTTTTCTTGCCTTGTCACCAAGGACTTTTAGTTCATAGTCTTGTATGTTCAAATGAAGGGAGTCCAAGGCCCTCTAAGTCATTTACTTGGTTCTTGATTGATTTTAATGAAAGCATATTCATTAAAATGATTAGATCCAGATACAAATGAGACTCTTAAAGTAGGAAAACTGATGGAAACAACTTGAATACATACTGAAGAATGCACTAAGTAATAGATCTACAAATTCAGAAAACAAACAAAGAGCTTCAAGCAAGATTTCACCTTGTCTGTCAAGGTTGAACTTCTTGCAATCACTTCTCTTTGTGTTAACAGGGGTTTATATGCTAAAACGGGATAGATGGTAAACAAGATTGCACATGTAACATCCCACATCCCCCAGGGGAGTGGATCCTCTAAGCCTTATATGTATATTCCCATCCCTACCAAGCACGAGGCTTTTTGGGAGCTCACTGGCTTCGAGTTCCATTGGAACTCCAAAGTTAAGCAAGTAGCATGCAAGAGCATTCCTATGATGGGTGACCCACTGGGAAGTTTTCGTGTGAGTTCCCAGAAACAAAACCGTGAGGGCGTGGTAGGGGCCCAAATGGGACAATATCATGCTATGGTGGAGTCGAGCCCTGGATGTGGCGGGGCCTGGGCCAAGATGTGACAATTTGGTTTCAAAGCCTAACCCTGGCCACGTGTGTACCGACGACGATGTCGGGCCCTTAAGGGGGGTGGATTGTAACATCCCACATCACCCAGGGGAGTAGATCCTCTAAGCCTTATATGTATATTCCCATCCCTACCTAGCACGAGGCCTTTTGGGAGCTCACTAGCTTCAGGTTCCATCAGAACTCCAAAGTTAAGTGAGCAGCACGCAAGAGCATTCCAATGATGGGTGACCCACTGGGAAGTTCTCGTGTGAGTTCTCATAAACAAAACCATGAGGGCATGGTTGGGGCCCAAAGCGGACAATATCGTGCTACGGTGGAGTCGAGCCCGGGATGTGGTGGGGCCTGAGTAGGGATGTGACAACATGAGGGAATCGATACTATGATGGTTGAAGGTAGCATAGCTTTAAACTAGAGAAAGATAGGCTTTCTAATGAAATCTAGACAAGAGATAGCTTGTCGCTAAAAATGACTGAATTTGGGTTGATTTCAACTTTTGGATGCAAATCTGGATTGAGAGTAGAGTTTGTATGTTTGTTTGTTTGATTGGTTGAGTGTCCTTATCTCTGGGGCCTCTTCTTCTTTTTATAGGAAAATTAGCCCGATTGTTGTAGCTTTGTTCTTGCCCGAAAGCATCTGAAGGGTAGTGAGTCATCAACTTTTTACTTGGAATGCCACTGAAAAGTATTCTTTGGCTGGTAGTAGGTTAGTCTCCATCAGTTGTCACTTCAATGGTAAACAAATGGCTTATATTTGACTGAGAAGGCTTCAATTTGCATCTAGGCTTGGTGCTGGGCTTTGGGCAAGTCTCCTTTTATTAGGTATTATTGGGCTTTCCTTCATTTAAGCTCAACGTTCAAATATTAACCCAAACAAGAACAATTCCAAGCATCGAATTCTGAAACATAAAATAGTCGATAACAACACTCGTAGACAACTGATAATGCATGCAAATTGACATGGATTCTTTCAATTATACGTACACGTCACATATGTGCGCACCCACACAATACAAGCAATCGTATGGCTTTAGCTAAGATATATCATATATGGCTTTAGCTAAGAGAGTGGGGGAATTTAGTTAGATGTTTGGGGTTTGGTGGTGGGATAATAGGATCGTTAGTCATATTTGGCAGGAAAGAAAAAGAGAGAAAATTGAAATGCGTCAAACGATGGAAGAAAGGGAATAGAGAGTGTAGAAAGGGATTGGTTTAAAATGGTAAAGATGATATTTCCTGTTCATATTATTGTTAATTATCAATATTTTATAGCTAAGATATATCATATATGGCTCACTTCCTAATTCATAAATAGTTCGTATTCGCAAGTGGGGGCATAACAAGTTTTCACTTTGCTTTAAGCGAAGTAAGCAGCCATTTCTTGGCAAGCAAAACCACAGCTGAAGTAACCTTCCACCACCTGCTTAAAGAAAGTTGTCTCCTTGTTATTAACACATTTTTCTTTTCTCAACCCATTTTTGCTTATTACAGAACCACAACTAAGAGATTGGAGTTTGAGAGAAACCTAGTGTAAGTGGTAGTTGCTGGATTTCACAGTTTGGAACATAGTGAATCAAGTAAGTTTCTTTGTCTTGTTTGCTTTGCTTCCATCTTTCTTAATCTCTATGCTGCATTGTTATTGAGCTTTGATTCAGTTTTCAGTCGTCTTCTTTGTCATTTGCACCTCTTTTGATTATTCACTCAGATATCATTGCCTTTTTTTTCATTGTTCAAATCGTTTGTAGTCGTACGTCGAATAACATTTGAACTTGTGGTTGATTCAGTTCGTCTGAATCATAGTGTTTATGCCTTCTTTGTGAAGGAGTCTGGACCTCTGATCAATTGGATAAAGTCATGTAACCACCTTGTGAATAAAACCTCATTGGATTTACTGATGAGGAATTAAAGAAGCTATTTGTATTGTTATTAATTCATTGGATTCTTGTGTCCATACTATTGCAGCTCTTGAATCCATCTCCTTTGATTATGCATTCGAATAATTTCATTTAAGATAATGTTGCTTACTGAGCTTTGCAACTCACCCTTTTTTCCTTCCGTTTCAGCAGTTTGGGTGAGAAGTTGACACATATTTTGGTGTATAATTGAAGACCTGTACCAGATTTTTGTTCATTTTAGAAAACATTAGATGTTTTGTAGCTATTTTGACAACATTGTGCACGTTAGATGTTTTCTACCTTTATTCTGGATTTTGGAACCTTTGTAATTTCATTTTCAGGTTATTTGTAGGAAATGGTAATAAATTGTTTATTTCAGTTTGGGAGAACGGGAAGTATTACATTTTTCTCTTAAAAGTAAAATGACGTGTCACCTGCTCGAATTTAGTTTGGGTCAAATCCGTTGCATGACATGTGATGAGGTGATAGTGCTAGTGTAATCCATTAAAGCATATTACTTGTGGTTGTTTGGGCCAAATCCGTTGCGTGACATGTGGTGAGGTGATAGTATTGGTGTAGTTCATTAGGTACCGTTTGGTACGTGGGATTGGACAAAACGGAATGCAGTGGGATGGGACGCACTCATCTCATATTTGGTGCGCCAATTTGCTTGGGACGCGCTGTCCCGTGGAATGAATTTTAGTCAATTTTTTGTGCCACCATCTCCCCCCCCCCGCGGAAACAACTTGTTCCAGCCCATGGAACACAAAATTATAACTTTTTGGACAATAATACCCCTCCTATAGCCTCCTCTTTTCTACCTTCCCTCTCTCCTGTAGCCTCCTCCTCCTCCTCCATCACAAACCCGGAAATCCAAGCTAACCTAAACCCAGTAAACCCAACCCCACCTTTCTCCCACCGCTTCTTTGCTCCTTGCTAGTCCCACCACGAGACTGTCACCTTCCATCATGAAAACCTCAAGACCACCCACTAGCAGGATGTGGCTGATGCCATCACTCGAGGGATGGGACAGGGAGGATTAGGCGGAAGATGTGAAGGATGACGTTGAACTCGTCAACGGTGACTCAGGTAAGGTCAAACTCGTCAGAGTGGATGGGTACGATTGTCATTTAATCCTTCATTCCATTCCAACTTGAGCGTACACCAAACGTAGCATGGAACCTCTGTTCCTTCCTATTATGGCCCATCTACGCGTGTACCAAACGGTACCGCATATTACTTTGTAGTGTAAACAATTTGGTCATAGACTTTAAAACCTTCAATTGGATAGAGACGTGGAATTACTGAACTAGCTTGAGTGTAACGAGGATATTTCTGGAAACTTGGTTACATAATAGTGTTAGTCTTAGGTCATGTGATAAGTGCTATAAAGTGATGGAATACGTAAGAATTTTATGTCCTTTTAAAAATTTGGATGTTTAAGCAATAAATTAATTGTCATGCACTCACTGTTAAAGTTTTCAACTATGAGTTTGTCAAATAACTTAAGCATCATATCCAAGAAAAGAAAAAGAAAATATAACTATAGTTTGTTGAATTTGTTTTGAGAGACCGCATTTTTTAACCATTAGTATATTATTTAATGTGGTAAGTGATATGTACATGTCATGCCTATTAATTAACTAGTAAATATGCCCGTGCGTTGCTACGGGATCAAAAATTATGTTTAAGATTATGCAAATTCATTCACTTCATAATTAAGCAATGTTTGAGTCAATAACTGAGGATTACAAATGAAAAAACCAAAAAAAAAAAAAAAAAAATGAAAATTTAACTTGACAAAGAGACCTCAATGATCTGGCTCAATTCATCATTCAAGACTTGGTCAAATTGTGATTCACTCAACCTATCCCTAAACGAAAGAAAACCAAACCAAGTTCAGCAAGAATTATGCATGATTTTTGTGAAACTATATAATGAATGATACCACATTGTTAAACAAACATGGACTGGAGTTGATTTTAAAATTCATTTAAAAGGAAAGTGGTAAATACCATTCGCTTGAGATGCTAACTTTTCAAGATATGACACTAACAAAAATTGCATAGAAGGATGAAACACGTATTAACGCTTACACTTGATCATAGATAACTATAACAAAATTTTATTTTACTTTACACAATGTTGCAGGAAATTGCCTAAATAGGCAATGAACAATAGCACAGGGAGCGTGCACTTGTGGATCCATAATTATATGTCAGAATGATTGATGTAGAGTATCAAAGATATTGATATACAGTACTACGCCTCTAAACAATTTTCTGGTTTTTTTTTTTTTTTTTTTTTAAGTACAAATAAAAACTCGCAATACTTCCCTGATGATGATGGAGGGCATAATCAAAACAAATTTTATAAATCGTTATATGTGACATTACTCTCTTGAGTAATACTACACTTGAAAATTGTTTCACGATTCGGTTTACTGCTCTTTGAAGTACAATAAGTGCAGCAACAATTCCCTAAAAAGAGTGTATATGTTAAAGAATTGATTGAAATAATTATAACAGAAGTAAGTTAAAGATTAGATAATGGAAAATTGGATGCAAAAAATATATCAGCAGCGAAGTAAATGTAAGTGGTGCGAGGCTATCCTAATAATGCATCTTAAATCGACACAAGAGGATTTGGAGGTGATGGAGTAGTATCTAAAATGGTTCATCAGTATGAGTATAGGATTACTGGGCATTTCATCTTTGCTTACATTGCAGCTCTAGGAGGCTCTATATTTGGCTATGATCAGGTCATTTTTCTTCCTGGTTTATGATTCAAACTTTGAAATAAATTAGATTTATTTTCCTTGGCACCCCTTCCTCCTGTAAGCATAGGTGGCATAGGCTGACGTTCTGAATTCAATGACTACCGTGTGATATGAAAATCTAGGAATAAAAAGTTTGGAAGCCAAGATGCAATACGTAAACTAAAATTGACAGCCACAAAAGGATGGAAACGGAAACCAGTTGCTAGCATCCAACTAAACTTGACATTTCTATATGCACCCACAAAATTTCATCATTCAAATGATATTGCTTTAAACCAAAAGTATGTAGAAAAAAGAGTGAAAACTTGATTAGCAATTACCACTTCCAGCGGTGCCACGATGCTAAGTTTTCCTCCTCGAATCTCCAACACATAAGGCTCCTTTGTAATTTCTGCCAGAACACTAAAATAAAAAATTGGTACATAGATGAAGAGTAAAAACTACCTTCCATAAATCAATAGAGAACTACATTAATGTGAAAATCCACATGTATAACCTATGTGTCCATCGTTATAGGTTTGAGCAGAAATACCATATTTTCAAAATCATTGATGATTCAATTTTAACCTAAAACCCGAGACCATCTCCGGTTCTTTGCAGATCAAAGCTCAATAAACAGCCACACATGTGAAATGAACAAAAAGAAACAGATATCTCAGGGATTAATGGCTTACCATGAACGAAGATCTCTGTGAGCTAGGCCCGCCCTGTAAATCATGCGACGCCTCCAAAATATCCACGGAGAGTACAACACCAGCAACAACACCCAATCCAATTTGAATCCGTAGTGCTATGATAAAGAACGAAGAAAATGTTAATTATTACAATCCCAAATTTTACAAATGTCGTATCTCAATCTTGTACTCGATCATATACCAAGGTATTGAGGCTAACATTTCTAATCTAAAAGCCTAGAAATCATAAAGCAAAGAACAAATCTTTTGTCTTGTAAGCAACCATGCCTATATAATCGAATTTCGCTTACCAAAGTGGTCTTACTAATATTATTTACAGAACAGAAAATTGAATAAAAAGAAAATAAGATAGACCAAAAAACTTTCTTTGATTTGAGCTCACCCAATAAAAAAATCCTTCAATTAAGAGAATAGGATAAACCATACTTTCATATAATATCTTAATTGAATTAGCCTTTGGATTGAATAAATTAGAGGAGAATCAAGCGATTGAATAAATTAGAGGAGAATCAAGTGATTGAATAAATTAGACAAATAAAATAGACAGAAGTGTAAAAATCATTACCTTTTGATCTCGCCATATCTGTGATTCATAGTATCATCATATCCTGTTAACCAGATTTGTTAGACTGATGCTTAGCTTCAATACTAATGTTTTTACAGAACTAATTTGAGAGATTAGAGGTGTGAGCTATAAAGTTTTTAGTTTTCATCTACATTTGAAGAGAGATTTTTTATGTTTTCTAAGGGAAAAAAATAAAGAAAATTATAATAGTGTTAACTACATTGCAATGTTTGAGAATTGAAAGGAAAATCAAGACGAAGGGATGAACAGAAGGATGACTACAAAGATATTAGAGAGAGAGAGAGAGAGAGAGAGAGAAATATAAGATTTTTATTAACTGAAAAAGGAAGATTACACAATTATGTTTTTATAAGAGAAAGTCTAACAACTCTAACCAAATACTAACAAACTTACTAATTGTATTGCTAACTATATTTCTAATTGTATTGCTGACTTGTACCCTTAATACTCCCCCTCAATCTGAATTGGGGAAACCTAGTTTGAGATTGGAAGAATTGAGACATGGTAGCACTGAAACTGTGGATTTTGGAAAACCACCATTGGATTGATACCCAAACATCTGTTCACATGTAGCACTTTGACTAGAGTCATCACTTTGGATTAGCCTGGTGCAAACAAGAAAGACGAGCTGATTATCCTTCATTCTACCGGAAAAACTAAACCTGCTCTCACACAGGTTTTTGAAATAACGATCTTTCTTCCATTGATCAACAGATAGATTCTCTTCTTCTCGTCCATCTGCCCACCTTCTGGAGAATGTAAGATCTTCCATCCTGTTGAATTGGCCTTAAAACTGATTGTGCCTCTAGTTCGGTCATCATTTGATAAGCATGCTCAAAAGACTTGGCATAAGATTCATCCATTGGTTTATTTCCAGATGAATCTCTTACAACTTGAAGCAGATGTACAACCATACGATAAAGAGTAAGCGAATATACTTAAACCATATCACCAAAGCTTCTAGCTTTCCCAGAGCCCTTAATCAAACAAGTGTACCCCATGACCTCTTTGTAGCTGTTGACCAAAAGCCTCTGTCTGTCAGTCCAAATTTCTTCCACTGCCTTACAAATAAAGACACCTTGTATTCCTCTGCCTCTATTAGGAGTTTTACACAAGAACAACCTTTTATAAAGTAGTTGTAGCACACCCTCATGCTGGTATAACAACTTCTTACGGGTTTACCCTTCGTGGGATTTACCGTCAACAATCTCATTCAACATTGGCTTTGGCCTTTAATATTTACAAAAACAAAAAATTAACAAACTATAATGTGGCATCGGCCTTAACTATAGCATCACGAGATCGCCCTTTGTGGATTTTACTAGAAACAACTTCTTTGAACAATGGCATCGGCCTTCACAATTTCAACAACAAAAAATCAACATCTATGTAGGATTACGCTTTGTGGGATTTACCTACTCATAAAACGGGATTACCTTTCGTGGGATTTACCGTCAACAACTTCTTCAAACTTTATCTCTTCAAGAAATATACAACCGGACTTCTAGTAGATACATGCTACAACTAAGTTGGTTAGACTCTGAAATTATAGGTTGAGATAAGCTCCTGAACAATTCATACCCAATGAAGAGATAGCAGAAATTCAAGAACTTACAGTATACAATATTGAAACTAAGTCCCATTTGGAACAAATTATGGTAGCAACATCTGCATTATCAAGGACCGTGAGAAACTTTAACAGGTGTGCTTCTTGGGTGCTGGCAAGTAATCTCTTGATCAGATCCTATAAGCATTCGAGAAAAATTGAGGGATGTGCTTCCACGTTCACCAAAAAAGCAACTTTATGATGCTGCTATTCTTCATACTTCATTTGCAAGGCTTTCACCCCAACGCATCCACGGTGCTATCTAATACTTCAGAACAAGTCCACTTCTTCCAAGAGCTTGTTAATCGTATAAGCAATGAATTACAAGACCCAATTGAGAGTAAAATCCACAAACCATCAACAAAATACTTATTCCGATAATACTGAACCCCAATATCAGAAAAACAACATGAAACTTAGAAAAGATAATCGAAAGTGAGATGATTTCATGCCTAAATTTGGACGGAAATAATTGATTGTCACATCCCAGAAGTAATCGCACTAAGAAATCATTCCAATTCTTCAAAGAATTCAGAGAAAGTGACAAGAAACATAACCTTCACAAAAAATCTTGAGTTGTCATTTCGTCGAACATGTAATGTGCAAGAATGCACTAGACAACTTCTTCCAATCCATTCCATTCCACCAATTCGTAGTTTCAATTTTCTTCTCCATTATTCCACAACTTTTTCCTCTTCATTCATTACACACAGATTTCTCATCTTCGTCCTCGATCGATTGTCTTCGTTTCGATCTTCTTCTTACGAACACAAGAAATCAAGAACTACAAATTTTTCAAGATCGCAAAATGTAGGCGGTGAAGGCGATCATTGTGGTGGCGGTGATGTTCGCATCAATGTTTTTCCACTGTGGCATCTCTGCTAGTACTGGGGCGACAGTTGTTGCAACCGTGGTGGTGGGGAGGCTGTTCAAAGCGTTGTCTTGTGGGATGAAAAGGGTGGCGCTCAGAGGGAAGAGTAGTGGGGTTTGCAACAGTGATGATGTTGACCCAATTCCCGAAGTCGCTAGCTTCGATTAGGACGTCGATTATGTTGTTGAGTTGTTGGGGTGTCATGCTTGGGGATGGCCGTGAATGCAAAGGAGGCGGTGGTGGTGAGGGAGAGGCGGTGACGGTGGCAATTGGGTTGATGGCTAAGAATAGAGTGGTGAGAAAGAAGATTAGGATAAATAAGTGGTGGTTGGGTGCCATTGGAGAAGCTGAGAGAACTATGAATACGGAAGCATAACCGATCAAATACGCGGAAACGATAAAAAGTAACGAAGAAAGAAAGTAATGAGAGAAGAGGAATCGACCACCAAGATCCATGGCATGAGCCTTGGTGGCTTTGATGTTAACTACATTGCAACGTTTGAGAATTGAAAGAAAAATAAAGAAGAAAGGATGAACAGAAGGATGACCACAAAGATATTAGAGAGAGAGAGAGAGAGAGAGAGAGAGAGAGAGATAAGATTTGTATTAACTGAAAAAGGAAGATTACACAATTATGTTTTTATAAGAGAAAGTCTAACAACTCTAACCAAATACTAACAAACTTACTAACTGTATTGCTAACTATATTTCTAACTATATTTCTAACTGTATTGCTGACTTGTACCCTTAATAAATAGAAGGCTCTGTTTGGTGTTCTAAACAATTAAATCGATGCTTTCATGAGATTTATTTTCAATCTTGATTTTGCATTTCTTCAAAGTAATTATTCACTTCTCATATTTCTGTCCCCTGATTCTCAGTTTATTTATTCAATTAAAAGCCTAGAAGAAATTGGATCAGTACAACAAAACAAAAGAGGAGTCCAATCATTTTTCTTTGCTAAATTTCCAAATTGTTGCAAAAACTTTTCAATGATATACCTTAGTTGCAACATGCCGTCAGTGATGCTTCTCACCTAACATCACCTAACATTCGAATGAAGAGAGATGTAGGTGTAGAGGTCAATGGAGGAAGCCACTGCACAAAGCTGCGAGAGGGAAGGCAAAGTTATGGTAGTTTATTTCTGTGAGAGGGAAGCAAAATGTATTTTACTTATGCAAAAACTTGCATAGTTATTTCTTACCCAACACTCATATCTTTAGTAGGAATACAAATTCACCAAATAGTTGGTCGAACACGAAACCGGATAAAAATCCAAACATTCCAAGGTCTAGTAAACAACACTGGGATAGGGAGTCCAAGTTCTTCAGCAACTGTGATGGTAAAAGGCATGAAACCGTAATCCTAAATACCAAGCAAATATAGAAGCAGTTCAATACTTAGCAAAGAGAAATCCACCACGCATGAAATAGAAATTAAACAAAAAAATACGGAAAAAAAGAAAAAGGTACCTCGTACTTCGCCTGCAACTACTTTTCAAAAACCAAAAATCTTAGTTCCTAAATACCAAGAAAACACAGAAGCGATTCGATAATTACCAAGAAAAATCAGAAACGTTACTGTCGAAGAGAGGGAGAGACACGTGAAGAAGACGATACCAGATGACTTGAGGATGTCCTTACAGTCCTAACAAATGAAAGCCCAACATAACCACCAAAATTGACGATGACAGAGGAGATAAGCACCAAAATTGAAGAATAAGAAATTTCACAGCCCCAGAAGCTAAAATTAGCAAATAATTAGTAGCTGATAAGGTAAACAATATATACATATGGTTAACAATCCAAGAGTTAAATTAGCACAAATTCATATACTATGAAGCTAAAATACCCGTTGACCACAAAAAAATTCATGCAAAGTTTTAACCTTTAAGCATGAATATTAAAAAGCAAAACCCAAACTTAAAAGCCAATAATTAAATTAACAAATTAATTTAAAAAAAAAAAAAAAAAAAACCAAATGTCACCTGCTCCGGGATGCTGAAATCAGACTCTTGAAATTGGAGCACTCGTACTTCAATTCGTCTTCGGTGCTCCAAAGCCATTTTTGGGTTTTTTTTTTTTTAGAGAAAAAGAGAGTTGAATGAGAGATGCAGGTTGTGGTTTCTGGAAGCAATTAGAGTTTATGCATCCTCTTCTCTTTCCACGATAACCGACAAGTGCATAACTTTTTTCGTAGCTGGGTTCATAAAACAAAGAACAGACCAAAAGAAAGGCTCCACCGATCATGGACACCTGGATAGCAAGGGCAAATCTTGCACATCACTGTGGATAAAACAAGCAGCAAAACGGCAAAGCAAAGAAAAAGCAGGGGCATCTCTGTCCGAACACTGGTGATCAACAGTGCATCGGGGGAAAACTGAGTTTTAGTATATATGATTTATCTCATTGGATATTGATTGTATGCATAACTTGTCACATAAGATGATACACTAATATGATACAAAAATATAATCTCCCTAGCATTACTCCATATTTGCCTTGTGATAACAACCAGAAAATGGCGTCCAAACTTCTTATTAGATGATAATTTCTGACAACTAAGGCATCATTTATTAATTTTACAACATACAGCTGTTTATTCTCTTCAGAAATTTACATAAACCTTTTTATTCTCTTCAGAGATATCTCTCTACTGCTTAACATCATTACTTAATCCTCAATTCGTCAAGATAAGACTTTCCTTGGAGCTTACGATCAAACATTGCTTTGACATATTCTTCAACACTCAGCCTTTTAAATGCTGCAGGTGTTTGCTCAGTGATCAAGCTAGAGGCCGGGCCGAATTCACCATCGACTCTGGGGTTGTAAAATGTGGCGATTGAGATCCTTTCTTTTTCAGAGTTCACAGTTGCACGATGTTCAATGCTACGATACGTCCCATTTGTTATAATCTGCCATGCATACATGCATATATTTAAACACTAAAAATAAAAGGTAATAGCTGCAATAGGTATAATTATTAAGGATCAAGCTTTTGTTTGAAATAATTGTTCAACACATCTCTCACAAAGTATAGGACGCACTCACGCAGTATAGGACGCACTCACGCAGTAAAAGGTTATTGAAGATTAAGCTATGTGTGAAAGATTTACATGCTTAACAATATAGTCAGTAAATATGGCATGGATAACACTGCACTCTTTTTTTTTTTATAACAAAATGTTTAGAGCGAGGGGAGACTACCCATTGCAGGTCCAGGGCACACCACATGCCTCTTTGAGGACTTACAGAGTGGGCCTTTAGCCTTTTTTTTTTGTTTTTACAAATCGCTCACCAAGAGAGATTGTCAGCAGCGAGACTCGAACTTAAGCCTTAGTCTAGCAAAGAGAACAATCCTTACCAACTCAACTAACTCTTGTTCGCAACACTACACTCTTTATATACACTTACCAGAGTGGTTATTGGTACTGAGTAATGTTGGAGTAAAATTCTTTTTTACCAGATATTTTTCTACATTACGGTGTAAATTAATTTTGAATATGAACTCTATGTAGTTAAAAAAGAATTGATCACCTGATGGTCAATGGTATGAAAATGACAGTTGGATAACATTTTCATCTACGTATCGAGCAAGATAATATTCAAAAGGTTAAAGTTATCAGTGAAAATCATTACCTCTAGAACGTCTCCAATATTCACAATAAAGGCATCTGGTAGTGGCTTCACAGGAACCCAAATCCCATCTTTCTTTACTTGGAGGCCATCCATTTCATTGACTTGTAGGAGGATGGTGAGAGCTCCACCATCAGAGTGAGGGGTCAGACCGATGACTTTCCCCGGCTGAGGACACGGAGGGTAATAGTTGACCCTCACCGCTTGCAATGCACCTTCGAATATGTAGGTCGCTTCATTGGTTTCCATCTGCAAAGCTTTTTCCATTTGTGATAGGATAGTCATGGCTAGGTTTTTCAGTTCCAATGAGTAAGTTTCTAAAGTCTCTCTGCATTATAAAAATATAGGTGAATTATTTGTACATATATCTTACAATGATAAATTGTGCCTAAAATATGTTACAGTATATGCAAAATAATTTACGTACAGAATAAAGCAATATTGTTTGATTCAAAATTAATTTACTTATTAATTGTACATATATCTTATACTAATAAAATGTGCCCTATATGCATGCAAAATAAACTACCTACACAATAAAAATAATTTACCTATAGTTTAAATAAAAATAAAAATTAATTATTTGACAATACATATTATTGTTGTTTGTTTTTTTTTTTTTTTTTTGTTAAAAAATAGATTTTGTTAGATTAGATTAGACACTCACGAGATTTGAACTCACACCATCATGTAGGGGTCCAATTCCTTTCCACCATTGTGATAAAAGGCCAATTGCATATTACTATTGCTCAATATATTTAATAATACATGTAAATAATTTACCCATAAAAATAGTTATTTGCTCATTATCAATTTGTAAATAGGTAAACTAATTGGTAGAATATTTTTGTACGTATTTGTAGCACTATTTATGTGCAAATAATTTATATCTAAACTACTTATTAATAAAACCCTCTTTGTCAACCAAATGAGGGTGAAAAGACTATTTAGACTTCTATCAAACAAAAAAAAAATGATGAGCAATAATGTAATTTCATAGGTCCAAATTTTACTTTTTTTTTTATTGAAACCTCACCTACATGTAATGTTAAAATATCTCTAATATTCAAAATTAAAAAAAAATAAAAATAAAAAAACCAAAAACAAATACCTCCCTTGCCCCCCCCCTAATATTCAAAATTAAAAAAAAAAACCAAAAACAAATACCTCCCTCCCCCCCCCCCCCGGCGACGTTCTCTTTCTCTCTCCCTCTCTCCTTCCCATTTTTCTAAAAAAAATATGCTTTACACACAAAATATATAGGCAAATGCTAGTGTGTAAATATATAGGGTAATAATACGTGTCATAATTATTAAGGGTAATAATACATATCATAATTATTTTCTAATTTTTTTTTTGAACGAACGATATTATCTACACTGAGGGGGAGGGGTGGATTTAGCCTTACAATGAGCTAGATTTAATATGGTTTAAACTCGTCTTTGGCGAGAATCGAACTTAAGACCTTTCACTTACAAATGAAGAGGAATACCACTAGACCGTAGTACTAAGTGAAATAATTATTTTCTAATTAGAGTGAGCAGTAACATTTATTGAAATAATTTGGATATTGTGGCACGAGGTGCGATTATTTTGTATAATAGTCAATTATTTTTCTACATTGCTGTCTTTATGAAATTTGTATTTTATTTGAATATTTAAACATAGGTGGCTTTTTGTCTATAAAATAGGAGTTGCAAGGGTGTGTGTATCCCTAAAACACCCTAAAATAAATCGTTTTTAGTCTTTCAAATATAAAATAGAAAATTGGATTAATGTCAATGATTGTTTTAGAGAGGTGTTATTCTCACTCCAATGTCTTATCTTCCCACCTACCTTTTTATGAATTTTTTAATTACAAATTTGTCCATTTGTAAAATCATTCAGAGAAAGCAAAAGGAGGTAAACCCTAACTCTGAATGATTTTGCTTTTTTTGAACGAAAGCAAAATCACTCCAATGCTTTCTCCCTTAAACCCTAACTCATCATTCCCATCTCCTTTCATTCAAAGAAAGCAAAATCATTCAGAGAAAGCAAAAAGAATGAACTTAGAAGATGACATTTCTATGGAAGAAGTAGATGATTATATTTCCGTCGAAGAGGTAAAAATAATTTTATGTGGGTCATCTTGATTTGTCGACATCGTACAATTGAAGCATCGCGTGACTTTTTATTTGAATTTGCATTAGGTTAGGGTGCAATTTGTTTCACGTTTTCCTATGAGAATTCCTGGAATTCGTTTTCATTAGGTTAGGGTAGATTTGTTTTTTAATGAGTTTTCCTTGAATAACAGTTTCCCTCTTTTCCTTTCTATAGTATTGTTGAATTTTATATAATTAATTGCCCTTCGAATAACCAGAAGGTGAAACACAAATCTCACACCATTTGCTTCATACTGGGCACACATTGTTTCAAAGCCTTTTGATGGTGATGAACTCCATTGCTTCATCCTTGGTTCATTTTCGAACATTTGGTTTCAGTTAATTATTTTAATTTTGAAACCGAAGTGAACTCCGAAAACAAATATATATTTCTGTTTCTTTATTTTTGAACTTTTCCTTGGAATTTGAAAAGGGGAAATGCATATGAAAAAGAAAACAAAAGGGGAAAAGCAACGAATGAAAATCCAGAATTCTTCATTCCCACCCCAGTTGGAATTTGGAAAGGAAACGGTTTTTGTTTTTCTCTGGCTTTTAGAAGAGAGTAATATTATTGGTTTATATTCTTTTTTTTTTAAGATAAATTTATCTCTAATTATATATAGGGCTATTTTAGGAATAATAGTGGGTGGGAAAATAACATTTTAAATTTTTAACTTTTATAGTGGGTGTAAATATAACGTGGGTAAGGAAATAAGACAACGGGGTAGGTCTAGCAACTTTCTTGTTTTATTAGATATTGGTGCCATAATTAGGGTTCCACCATGGTGATAATCATGATATACACGTAGGTACGCACTATTCTAGTTCATTGTTCTGGATACATTTTATGAATTATGTAGCGTACCTATGCGTATAGATTCAAAAGATTGGAAACAATATTTTACCTCATAAAAAGGACCAATATAAAAAACTAATTTGACACCTGAGTTTAGATAGGAAAATCATGTTAGGATGAATATAACCTAGATGCCCTAATGCACTGATATCTATCAATAATATTATTAGACACATAAAAATGATTTCATTAGTAACACGTGTTAATAGAAGTAAGTCTGTATGTTACACTCACTTATGTCAGTACTCAAATAGAGATTGTCAGAAATAAAATCAGTTTTTTTTTTTTTTTTTACTAAATAACATTACTCTTCGATATATTCGTGCATTCACATTCATATTGCACAAAATCATAGACAAACATATTTATTTGGATTCACGAGAGGACCTGAAAGGAGAAGGGAGTTTTGGGAGTAGGTGAGGCCTCCTCAGTTGGACAGGAAGGGTGGTCAAGACGAAAGTGTCAGCCCAATCGAGTTTTTGGTCTTCAGAAACTACAAAGGATTGTCCAAAACCTTCAATGTCTCCTGGCTGTTGCGAAAATTTTTTCTTCTCTTCCATGGGTAGGTTGAAGAACTCTTGAGTTTCTGTCTTCATTTTATCCAACAAGGAAGAGCTCACACCATGGTTTACCAACTGTAAAAATATACAGAGTGAATACTATGGCCAAAAAACC